AATGTGAGATGCTTATTCATTATGTTTAGTTATAATGTAAAAATCATTTATTCACTTACTCATTCAAAGTATTTACTGAATGCCTACCATGTGCCATGTATAGTTCTAGGTGCTGAAGATATGGTATGAAAAAAAGTTTTTACTTTTATAGATCACATAATCTTGTGGGAGAAATCAGACAATTAACAAATACATTATAAAAATGTCAGAAAGACATGCAGAGAACCAAAATAGAATAGCATGACAGAGGGCAGCTGAGTAGCCACTGTAAATTAGGCATGAGAGGCAGTGACACTTGGAGGCTGTCTACATGGCAGTGGAGCATTCCCGGCAGAGTGAAGAACCAGGAAAGGCCCCTGGGCGCAAAGGTGTCTGTGAGCCAGAGTTGAGGGACCAAAACGCCACTGGCCCGGGCACTTAGCTGCTGGACTTAGTTAACCTCAGAACCAAATAAATTCTTTGAAAATGCTCAAAACTCATCCCGGTTTGCCGTGAATGTCATTTGTCTGACTACCTCCCACTCTAAGACATACCAATATATAACAGATACCTGTATGTTTTATCACTATGGAATAGGAATACTTTTTCATCATATAATATTTGAGATATATTTAAATACAAATATATTTTAACACAAATGTTAAAATTTACATATTACTTTTTACTTTATAATAATTCATAATTTGTTATAAATTATATAATAAAATAACATTACAGAACGCTTAGAAATTAATGTGGATTTACTCACTGTCCTAATATAGTTATCATTGTTATATATTCTTTTCTAGTTTTAAAATATGCACCCTTTCACACAATTGCAATTATTGTAACAAATATTTATTAGGAATTTGCTATGTGCTAGATACTGTACTAAGAACTTTAGCTCACTATCTTATATAATCCTCACAACCATTGCAGGAGGGAGGTACTATTATTCCTACTTTACCAATGAAGAAACTGAATTTTGAGGAGGTTAGCTAACTTAAATCCAGTACTAACTCCAAAATCTAAATTCTTAACCATAATTCCATTCTATTTTACAATGAACAAAGTTTTATATCATAATTTTAGAGTATCATTAGCATGAAATATTCTCTAACCACAATTAGAAGTTACAAAATATTCTAGTGAGTTGGGGGGGTGCTGTGCCTGTCTTTGGAGGCAAGGCCAAAGGACTGCTTGAGGCCAAGAGCTTGAGACTAGTCTGGGCAATATAGTGAGATCCCTTTTCTACAAAAAATAAGAAAAATTAGCTGTGCATGGTGGTGCATGCCCGTAGTCCCTGCTGCTCAAGAGGCTGAGGCAGGAGCATCACTTGAGCCCAGGAGTTCAAGGCTGCAATGAGTCACGATCCTGCCACTGCGCTCTACTCTGGGCAACAGAGAGAGACTCTGTCTCAAAAAAAAAATAAAAATTGTGAGTGAGTTGACGTACAATAGAATTGAAGTGAAACAAATTCAGAGTACAGTGAAAATGACCATAGGTATATAGTTACTCAGTAGTCTTCTAAGACCAACAGGACTAGTGTTTTGTTTCTTTTCCCCCAGCACTAAAAGAGATTTCTCTTTAACGTCACCAGAAAGAGTACGTACGTTTCCCTTTGGGACAATGCTAGAACACAGTAATGTACAATTTGTCCTGCTACATAAATTTCTATAAAACCAATTAACTCATACACAATTGGTTAATGGAGAAATTATGTCAGTTTAATGTGGAAGCTGTGTTGGTTCATAAGTGATTTTTCCCAGTTAAGGGGAGCCTGAAAAGCGGAAGGCAAATTATGACTTTCAGCAGGAATGGATATACATAGCCTTTAGTTCACTGCTGGGCAGGCAGGAGCTCTTCCAGCTTTAAGAAAATGAAAAATGAGTACCTTTATGCGCGTGCACACGCGTGCACACACACACACAACCAAGAATGAAAGAAATTATTCATCAGGAGCCTGGCTAAGTGAAACAACTTCATCTTAGACCAAGCTACAGTGAGTCTTGGGGCCGTCTTGCCAAGAGCTAGTGTTGGATACTGTTCTGCGATGGGTTCCTGGCTACGTTCTTCCTGTTTGAAAACAAGCTATGCTGTAGGAGGCTCTGAAAAATGAAGTA